CATGATCACTTGCTATACCCCTCAAACCCACTGCTTTACACCTTACCTTCACTACATGCACTTACTTCCGTGCAATGTCACGGCAATTTGCCTCGTCATGATTGTCTAAAAGGACTCAGGGCCAGCCCCCAAAAGCATGTAAGCCTGCCTGCATGTCAGCTCGGTTGTGAACACCTGAGGTGTCTCAAAATGGTCAAAGGTCCCGATTAAACCCACGTGCTCCCTTGAAGAAGGGTGTGGACTTGATCTACCAATCTGATTCTAGTCCTTCTTTAAGGATTGATCAGCGCTATCTTTAGACACGAAGCATATCCCTCTGATACCGTGACATTTGGGGGGCTTAGTAACTCGCCACCTGCCATGCTCATCCAATATCTCGGGACGATCCTCAGCACAGCCACATAGTCAATGATCAGACCGTAAGCGTTGACCGACACGGCCGGATGGCGCGGAAATTTGAACAGCTTCGAACTCAACGGTTGTGTTTCCCATTGCAGTCAACGCACCCGCAATCCTGATGGACGGGAAAGCATGCAGACTTCTTCTGGCAATTGGGTTAGGATATACCGTATGTGACCTGTCCTGCACGTTTGAAGGGCGCGCAGTTTGACATCGGTCTCTTCCCAGATGAGAAGTTGTTCCCCCAGATTGCATGCCGTCGGTTATAACCAGTTCAAGGGGGCGATCGACACACGCACCCTGTTTTTTTTTTTACTCCACCCAACCCCTCGGGTTGGATCTATCACCAAGGTCTGTAAGTCGTATGGCGGCCAGTCGGAGAGGTTCCAGCGGCGTGGGGACGTCGTACAGGAGCAAAACGGGAGCCATCTGGGGCGCCGGGATTTGCTTCCCAGCCCTGCCGTTACACCGGGCCAAGGCTCACCCCGGGGCGCGATACTATTAAAGAAAACAAGGCAATCTTGGCTGGGTGGGTGGGTGTGCGCGCCCCAGGCAGACGGGAAGTCTGCTTCCTCCTCCTCCTCCTCCTTGTACATTCCCCCCCTGCCACGCCGCGGTGATCCTGCTGTCATGTACCGATACATGGGGCGGGCAAAGTACCGGCTTGTTGCAGCCCAGCCCGCGGCGGGCCGAGGAGTGTCAGAGTCAGACGGGAAATATCTCGCTGTGCCCCCGTTCCCCCCCTCCCCCCAAGAGCTACGTACACACACGCTACGCTTATTATAAAAGGAGGGGTTGTTGGTTGATTGATTGATTCTGGGGGCCGAAGGATGAGCGGGCAGATCGTTGCATGCGAGATGGATATAGCCTGAGTCGCACGGGTTGCAGACCTGGGAGCATTTGAGTCGATCAGTCTTTTTGCGTGGAACTCGCAGATGGGGGGAGGAGGAATGGGGAGGAATGGAATTGATGGAACCCGTGGGTCGAGCGCTGCCCGACGTTCCCAAGCCCTCGGCACAGGTGCTGGGTCCATCATGCCATCGTCACCGTGGGCTCCAAGGGGTGAGAATCCTTCGGCGGGGTGGGTCGCGTGAACGAGCCTCATTGCCTGCCTAGTTGGAGGAATCTCTGGAGACGGCCCTGCGTCTGGGGCATGTCAGATGATTGAGGGATTTCGTGTGCCCGCCCCAAATTCTGAAAGAACGGTGAAGGTTCTGCTTTTGATATCCCTGGTCAGAGGGACCCATGGTTCAAACACTGGGCCTTGCTTACAGTCAGTATAATGCCTCGGTATATCGCTGTGGTGGAACAACCCTTCCGACCTCATCATCCCCACCCGTGCTGAAGAATCCTAGCAGCGTCGCTTTTGAGTCACTGTTCTGGAAGATACGGTATAGGCAGACCAGCCCGTGAGGTGTCCCACGGCATGCCAACCTCGCAGATCAGCCCGACGATTTCCATTACTGCATGTGGTTTTCCTGCGGCCTGCCGATATTGAGCGGAGCGGGTTAGGTGTGTGTGTGCTACTGTGGACAGCCCAGAACAAAAGAACCCTGCGAAGGATTCCAGCCCGCGGTGGCATGTCAGCAGGGTTAGGTGAGAAACACAGCATCAACGAGATAAAAGTCCCGTTGGCGCGAAGGATCCGATTGTGGGTGCTGGGTTCTTTAGGATTGTGTGGATTAAGTGTCATCATCACCCAAGGCTGGAAGGGAGGGGGCCTGACGCCCAGGTAAGCAGCCGCATTTGCCAGAAGGGGTCTGATCTTCCGAGCAGTTGCGCGCTGAAAAGAAGAGCAACGGATCAAACCCATGGTGCTCAACGAGAAATGTGACCGAATGCGCCTCTCGCTTGGCTCTTGAATGGGGGCACATATTATACAGGATGATGGGGCGGGATTTGTTTCAATAGTCTCTGTGATTGAAGAGATTTCTAAATCACATGTAAGTTTTCATGCCCTATTTTTGCTCCCTGACAAGTAGTGATCCTTTTCTCGGGAGACGAGCCAGATGCAACTTGAACTATTTTGATCGTCCATCGCGGTCGCGCTCAGCCAAGGAATGTCAAGGCTGCAAGATCTTTCCCACATGGACCGACATTATGAATCATACAGTTCCCGAGGCTGCCAGAATTATGCCATCAGGCATACGACTCAATGCAATTCAAAGTAGGCAAAAAATGGGAGAATACATTAGAGAAGGGCAACTTCCAATGACTTCAAATGCCGAGATGATAGCATAACAACTCTTGCAGACGAGGCGGACGGCGAGGAAGCTTCTCCAACAAGTCTACCAAGATCGGTGTCCGCTTTTCCCAAGTTTCCTATTCCCGAGGCTATCACTCAGATATCACATCTCCCGCTTACATGCCAATGGCCTCGTCGCTGCAGCCTTTCACGGCACATGCACACATGCCTAGTAGCCCACAACCCCAGGGTCCGGAGAATGCCCCTAGCCTCGTTCGGCATCGGTCAGACGTCGTCACAAAACGGAGAGCCAACGACAAGGCAGAAAAGCCCAAAGAGGATTCGGCCCCACACGAACCCGCATCATGACCGTTGCCAACCTGCTGCCGCGCGACCGTTTTTCTCTAAGCTAGTCTGGGACCCACCCACACACGGGAGAGAGACATTCCCCCCCAGCCTGTGAAGAGGCTAGAGAGAGGACCAGTCTGGGTTCGATCAAGGTTGCGAGCCAGCCACGGGAGGGGCTTCGAGCCAGGATAGTACGTGACATGGCATGCCGTAGCGGCATGCGAGAGCGCGGCGCAGAGGCAGAGTGGAGGAGTAGGGACGGAGGAGAGGGAGAGAGGGAAAATAACAACGACAACCAGACTGGCCGCCGTGCTGGTAACCACCCACCCCCCCCCCCCCCCTGGCACGCGGGCGGTCGCTCCCTCAGACGTCAGAAGTGCCTCGCAGGGCTGCGATCCACCCGCGATGGTAACCTAGGCGAGCTAGGGGGTGTTGGGGGGAGGGGGCCTGACCTGTTGGCCGGGCCCCACCGGTGGCAGCAGGTGCCTTTTACGTATACGTAGCATGAGGGCAGTAGCGGTACTATGCTCCATGTAGACTACATACAGCTGAGGAACGTACGGTATCGCACAGAGAGGTCGCCGAGCTAGACTACTGCAGGTGCGCGGCGAGGCCGTTCCACCCCGACGATCAGATTACCAACAAGGTCCCAGGCCCCGCCTTTCTTTCGTTTCTTCTTTTCTTTTCTTGCTCGGGATCTGAATGAGTGGGCAGGGGTTGATTACTTTTTTGTGACCTCATTGAGACTTTGCAAGTGACTGCTCCTCGGCCAATATAGGCGTCGCCGTCATCGAGTGTGCTTGACGTAGACACATCGGGGTCTGGCAGTTGTTACTGTGCACGCTGAACCTGGGCGCCGGGGAACAGAGACGGGGACTATTAGCTGTACCTAACAACCAACAACTGCCTTTGTGTTTTACTAGTCTACAGTACTGGACTACCTACACGTATAGATACCACCTTGTCATGAAAGTTCCCACCTCCGAGGATGAACTTTCATCACACTCTGGCACGTCTAGCCACCGTCGGCCACCAAAACCCCGGCCTCCCGTCCCCATGCCCGATGCTACATATTCTACACTACACCTCGGCATCGTGCCATCTGCTCGGACTCCAACCTCGCAACGGGTGCCCGCCCCAGCCGGGGGGGTTGGGGGTTTGGGGTTGGGATTGATTGGGGGGAAGAAACCAACAGGCACAGGACGAAAGGCCCGAACTATGTTTGTTGTACAATACATACCCACACTAAGGGTATGCAAAGGTGCGGCGCAGTCCCCGGGAGCAGGTGGACTGGACTGTAACAGTCCACATGGGTTTTAGTCTATGCTGCCCCCCGTGAGCTTCTTCTTCTTTACACTACTACGGTGTGTACAACCCGCCAGTCCCTTTGCCCTCCCATCATCATCTCCACCCGCCTGCGCAGCACCGTCGTGGGGCCCGGCCCATTCCCGCCACGCATGTGCATGTTTCCCAAGGTGCTTCCAGGCATCATGACTCTGCTGCATGCGTATCTTTCCCACTTTTTCTTTTCGTCATGTAAGTAGTCTACCTACATACGTACATGCAGCAAAGATGCGCCTGCATTGCATGCAGGCGGCCGCTGGGGCCGGGCAAAAAACGGTTCACCTTGGCAAGTCGTCCGCATCCCGGCCCCCTTCCACCATCGTCGATGAGGTGGTAAGTCCCCAAAAAAAGTTTGTCAGACCAACAGGGCTCTTTTGTGCCTGTTGGTTGTCTCTGGGCTAGTTGGCAGTGCGGCCCACTCGAAAGCCTGCCATCGCATCTGGAGGACCAAGTGCGAAGAAGGCTAGGAGCAGCAGGTGAGTGGGGCCCAGAGTGAAGAGCCCACCACCCATTCAGAGCTGTGCCTCGCAGGGCTGGACAAGGCAGGCCCAGCTAGGCAGTTCGGATTCTTCTGGGCTGAGCTAGGCTGGCCAGGCAAGGCTGCCCCCCCCCCCCCAGGTATACTGTACTGTACTGTACTTCGTTTGTCTTGCGACAAATAGGTCCGATTTCTATCACGCACGGGCGGGACAAGCCGAGACCCTCGGTCCATCCCAATCCCGGTCTAAAGGTTATTTGGCCTCCTCCCAGGAGGCATGCGGATCCCCAGCGCCGCAGCCCTGGCAGCAGAAGGGTCATCAGCTGCTGCTCCTGCTCCTGCTCCCCCAGGCCCGTGCTGCTGCTTCTTCGGCACCCTGATCTCGTCGACCTTGCTCGCCTGGAGCGAGAACGCCGGGCAAACCCACTCGCCGCAGCTGCACTTGAACCCCTGCCACGCGTAGCGCCCGATGTTGGTTCCGCACCGGGATCCGCCGCCGCCGTTTCCGGGGCACATCAGCCGGCCGTCCAGGAGGCCCTCCCCCAGCACGTCGCTCATCCACGATAGTGGCTCGATGAAGTGGTGCGGGCAGGGTGGTCTGCTCTTTGTGGCTGCGGACTGCTGCTGGTGCTGTTGATGCGGGATGATAAACCGTGACGTGGCAAGGACGCGCCGGCACTTCTTGCAGCGGAGCTCGCTGATCGTTGTTTTGGACTCGTCGTCGCCGCCATCGACACCGTCTTGGGCGCCCTTGTCGGGCTTCGGCAGCTTCTCCTCGTCGGCGTGGTCGTCCTCGAAGCGGATCCACTCGGGGGCCCTGCCGATCTTGGCGCTCTCCTCGACCTCGCGCTCCCACAGCCACCGCTGGTAGACGGGGTGCTTCTCCACGGCCTCGTCGCCGCCAGCCGTGGGCATCCTCATCATGACCCACATCTCGAGCTGCTGCATGAACCCAGGGTTCGGCTCCGCGATCTCGCGCGTCCGGCGCACCCAGTCGAGGGCGGCCTGGACGGCCTTCCGGGCCGTGTCGGCGTCCGGGGCGCGCTGGTGCGGGTCGAGCATGGAGGGCGTCAGGCCGTAGCGGTGGGGGTACTTCCACAGCAGGTAGGCCAGGACCGCCGTGACGGAGCGCGACTTGCCCATGGCGCAGTGGACGAAGACGGCGCCGGGCTTGGAGGGGTCGGCGGGCGCAGGTGCGTGCTCCTGCAGGGCGATGTTGCGCATTTGCGCCTCTGGTAATGACTCGGTCCTGGGCTTCTCCCGCTCGCCGTCCTCGTCTGTGGCCCCGTCCTGCTCGCCTTCTCCGCCTCTCCGCCTCGTCCCCGGCAGCGCAGTGCCCCGCGGCCAGGGGCCCTCCCCGCCGCGCAGGCCCCTCTCAATAAACCTCACGGCGCGGGGCAGGTGCACCAGCAGGTCCTCGTCTTCTACGTCCACGTCGACGCTGAGGTGGACATAATGGTTCTCGAAGCCCTGCCAGTCGACAAAGCTGTACTTGATCATGCTGAGGATGTGAGTGATTCCCTTGCCCTCCATGGCGCCGGGCCTGCGCAGGGCAAAGACGCCGCCGACATACAGGTCGTCCGGCCCGTCGACGCGGTTGAGGGCCATGGCCTTCTTCTCGATGTACTGCAGGTGGGCGTGGTCGGCGCCCTCGAAGGCGGAGCGCGGGCCGTGGCAGCGGTGTTTTGGTGGGTCAGGGCCCGTGGCGGGTGCCGTAGTGCCGGTGGAGCTGTGTCTGTTGTGGGCGGCCAGCTCCCGCTTGATCTCGTTGATGTCCAGGCCGGTCAGGGCGGCAAAGCGCGAGCAGCAGCCCGGCGACAGTGAGGTGACGTCGTGGGCGGTGCTGTCGCTGTCGTAGTCCTCGCCTTCGCCCTCAGCTTCCCCCTCGCCGTCACTGCAGGCAAAGTCGTCGATGTCTATACTGCCCTTCGGGGCGGTGGTGGTAGTAGGCTCGTTGGTGGTGGCAGTGGTGGTTGCTGGTGTTGGCTTTGTGTCTGTGATGGTGGTGTTGTTGTTGGTGGTTGTGGTGATATTTGCTGCGCGGTCTGACTCATCAATCGATGGCATAGTCTCGATGCAGCCTGGTCCAGTTTCCGGTCTGAGAGTCTTCGTAACAGTCAGTGATCGCCCTGGCCGGTGATCATTTCGGGTCCCTGTTCAGAGGCGAGGCGAGGCGTGGTGTCCAAGAAGTCCAAAGAGGCAGGTGGATGCGATGCGATGCGCGATATCCGTATGTGTGTGTGTGTGTGCGTGTGCGTGTTTGATGGATCGAGGTGACATTGACGAGCAGCGACGGGCGGCCGGTCGATCAGATGCAAGCAAATCTGGACTGCCAGCTGCCAAACAGTCGACGTCGACGTCAATGTTTTCGGGCGCGGGCTGATCCGCTCCACCGACCACCACCGAGAAGAGGAAAAGAAAAACGGCTGCCCCGCCTTTCCGGCCCCCACGCCGAGCTGTCGCCCCTCCCCTTTGGGGACCGCGGTCCCACATCCTAGCGCGGGGCAGCTGGTCGCCACTCACACTGACCTGCTTACTACTCAAGCTGTGTACGTTTTGCAGCAGGTCCGTCTCACTCTGCTTGATTACTACTCACCTCGCTGGCCTGGCACTCCACACCTCACGGCTCACATCTCACACCTCACACCGTAAACCAAACCCACCAGGCTTCGCTTGTCCCTGTCTTGCAGAGGAACTAAATTTTAGTGCCATGGTAGACTGCAACTGGTTATCCTAGCCTGAAAACAGCCGCCAGCCCTACAGCCGCACAGTAGTCTCCCAGGCAGGGCACCCAGGTTACAGGTAGGCATAGACTAGGCACAACTAATCAAAAGAACCAACCGGTGGTCACCGGTACCTACATAGGGCTGAAAGCGAAACAGCCCGCTCTCTGGTCAATACCTCCCAGGTGTATAGCAGATAAATATAGAAATTTTCCGTAGACCCCAGCAGTACATAGTCTGCAAGACCGTTCATCCCCTCTCAACACCACCGTCACCACCACGCCACGATGCAGACTGAGAGACTGACTGGTCACCAAAATCTCAAACCCATGCTGCAACACACACACTCTCTCTCTCGTCCTCATCCTCCGACCAGGTAGCCAGTCCTCATCCCACATCCCGGCCCAAGCAACATCATCACCATCGTCATCACCTCCCAGAAACCTCAGCCCTGCAACGGCCGTCTCAAGTTGCCGTTTGAGACACATCACATCACATCTCAACCGCCCAGCCAGACCAGTAGTGGCCTAGCTCGTCACAGTTACATCCCTTCCCTCCCTGCTCAGTCTTTACCGGGTACTGTACATACATACACCCATGCATACATACATAAATACAGGTGATGGATCCCCTTCCCTCGGCCTGCCCGAGCGTCAGGTAACGCCGACCACAATGCGCAACCCGCCCACACCCTGGCAAGGCAAAGACAACCGTGACGAGGCTGCGCCCGACCGGCCGAGGTAAGGTACCATCAAGGAGGAGGAGAACCAAGCATGGCAGGGCTGGCAATAGCTCCGGGATGACATGGGCTGCTCTTCCTTCATTCCTCCAATGCTCCTTCATTTGAACACACACACACACACACACACACACACACACCGCTTCGAGATGTGTTCTTGGTACTGCCCTTCCCCAGGCAATGTTGCACGTGATCTTTCGATGGTAGTATTCATTTATGCATCGGAGTCCATGGAAGCCCTCCAAGAGAAAATTCTGTTTAGGAAACAAGAGAAAACTTGATACAGTTCGTGTCAAACGGACTGCTGCTGCTTGGTGGGCTGAATAGCTCCAACATGTGCGCCTGTAGCCCAACCAGGCCCGCCTGCCAGGGCGGTGCGCGTAAAGGAAAACAAGAAGGGGGATGAGAGAAAAGACCAAAAAAAGAAGATTGCCAACCCGACAAGCAACTCGATCGACGATGCAATGTATTCCATCGCCCAAAAAGGCCCTGGTTTCCTGTTCCATTTACTACCAGCCCGCAAGTATACCAGCGGGAAGGAAAAAGGCAAGGAAGCCAACCTGCGAAGTCTCTCTCTTCCACTCTCTTCTCCTAAATGTGGACATCCTTCCCGCAGTCGGTTTCTCCCTCGGTCCAGGCTGTCGCTCACATGAGAAGCGAGCAGTATGTTGCTGAAATTCCCTCCGTCATGTCTTGTTTCGCCTCGCCTCGCCTCGCTGCGCTCTAGCGACAGAGTCAAGAGCGCTCACAGGTAGTGTAGGATCAGAGCCCGCATTCCCCCGGTAAAGCGAGGTGAGCTTGGCCGGTTGTGCGACTCCCAAGAATCCTTCCCGCCAAAAACGTATACTCACTTTCCAGAAAGTCTGAGTGATGATGATGACAATGAGGCCCCCAGAAGGGGGCCATCATGCAAGAACGTACATCGCTAAAAAAAAAAAAAAATTGCAAACAAGAACTCAATCATGTGTTTCGCCGCCGTTCGACGGCAGGTGGCGCAGGTGTCATGGTCCGACATCTTGGCCATCGGTTGCGAAACATGGCGGCGGAATGTCGTGAAGCCTTCCTTGCCCAACGAGCAGAACAGGTACAGTCCGTGAATGGCTTCTGTTTCCCCCGCGTGCACAGTGCTGTGCTGTGGAGTCATATGACAAATGGACTGGGCTGATCGAGCTGCCGACAGATCATGATGCGGTAGGTAGTCAAAGCCACCAAGCCCTGCAAATCCCGGCTCTCCGGTGTCCAGTGCACAGTAGCGAAGGACCTGCTGTGAGCTATGCAGGCACCGGAATCCTTCAAACCTTCTGCGGGCCTCGCCATGGCCACCTCATTTCGTCAAATCAGGCGTGCCAAGCGATGCCGACAGGCCTTTGTCTACACGGGCTGAGAGCTGTTTTTTCAGGGTTTGGCTGCCACACCGTCTCGGTCGGCTACGGGTTCCATCTGCCCTTGATTATCCCCGATTTTTGTCGACGCGTTGATACCACGGCGCCTCACCTCGGACCCCTACTTGCAAGGCTGTCCACCACCTGCATGTCTCTGAAGTCTCCGCTGACCATGATAAAGCAGGTGTTGCCGAAATGCCGACAGAGTTTTGTAAGGGATTTGCAGTGCGTTACGGCGCAGAGATCATGTCCCCATACCTTGGCTCAGGTATGGTGTGGGCCAGCCCCGCGAGGTGTCGAGGTATGTCTTGATTCGCAAGGCAGCAGAAATATGGACCACTAGCTAGCCTGTTGTGTTCAAGGAAGCAGCCCTGCGGCGCAGTCCCAGGCGATAAGTTGTGGCGGTTAAGGATCGACTAGACTATCTAGAGGCAGCTTGGCCAGCAGATGGGGTCGGGTCGTGCAAAGGACAAGACATGGAGCGGACCGCATTATGTGAGAAGCGTCCGGGGTTCGACTCCCAAAAAACCAGACTTGTCGCATGTTTTCCTTGACAGGTCAGCCGAGTCAACGTAGGCAGACGCTAGCTGCTTCACTGGTCCAGCGACAAGGGAGAAACTCGTGGATAATTCTCTTATCACGAAGCGGACCTGCCGGCCAGGCACCGACTTGGAAAGATACTGAATCGCGCAGCAGGAGACGACACTGCAGGTGGGAAAGCTGATCAAGTTACGTACGGTACGGGGACCCGTGTGTGTGAGTTGCATCTGCCGTGGTCAAGCCAGCCAACCTAGCCAGTGGATACAGCATGAGGTCGGGGATGAGATCCTTCGAACTATCCACATGATGCCAGGTCCGTGCTACAATGAAAAGAAGGCTCAGCATATGAAGTCAAAGCCTTGTGTCGATTCGACAAGCTTGCCAGCAGAGCATGCGCCAACGCTCCTGCAGGCGGGCTTTGGCCTGTAGTGGTCCACCCGAATCCTTCGCGCACTCTTGCCACCTTCAATCCGCCCGTGGGGAGTGGGGAACGGGCCACAGTAGATTTCAAGGGCCTCGAGCTTTGTTTTTTTCTGATTCTTTCCTTCTTCACAGGCGCTTGGTTGCATGGGATAGCAGAGAGCTTGTTTACCTCTGGCGTGCCTGGCGTGCCAGAAAGATATGACGTTGGGAATCGATTTCTGCATTTGTCGCGATGCCAGCCACCAACATCTGACTGCATTCGGCTTTAACGTATAGAATAATTATTTCAGTGCACCCATGTGGCGTACTTTTTGTGTCGTCAGCGTCCCGCATAGTAGCGAACCGTTTCGAGACGTCTGAATTCCCAGCCCTGCTGCTGACGCTCAAGCCAGCCCTCTCGCAGACGGCATAAGTGTTGCCCGCAGTTTCGAGCGCCCCGAGCGACGCCTTGGCCCGTGCAGCTCGCCTTTGATTTGCCAGACATGTCGTACACATCTGACGTCGCGACGCCGCGGCCTTTCCCCCTGGTGACCAAGGCCAGCTCGCGACCACAAGATTGTCAAACCAGAGTGATTGATCGTATTCGGGGTTTACAGCCCAGCTTGCTGGTGTTGACAGCTTCTCCTCCTCGCGAGGCCTCACACAGTCCCGCAGTTGCGCCCCTGTTGTTTCACAGATGCGCACATCAGAGCCCGGCCGCCACCGGCTGGGCACCTTAGTCCTCCGCTATCAAGAGCTCGCCTCACCTCCCGGGTGGTTGCGGCGGCTCCTCTTCCATCATGCATGCGTTTTCCAGCATGTTGGTCCACTTGCCACTTGTTCCCGCATGGCTATGCTTAAGATGTTGTCGGAAATGATCGGCCCTGTAAAACTTCTTGGAGCTATTACACTCGCGGAACTTGTGGTGGTCTTGCAAGTGACGCACGCGCTCGTCCCAGTCCTGTTCAGTGACATGCCGCACGTGCCCCGCAGGGGTCAACCCGGATCGAGCGAACTCCTCGCCGCAGTATCCGCAGGTGTCGGCTTCACCAGGCCGTGTGGTTGATTCGTGGAACGCCCTGTCATAAGTTGCAAGTGCCGAGCAAGACCAAGAGTGTCGCCGTACATGCAGCGAATTTTGGTGTCGCTCAGCCTCATTCTTGTTCTTGAACCGATTTCCACAGTAGGCACACTCATATTGTTTCTCAGCCTCATGAGCACTGTTTGGTAGCATAAAAACTCGTGTCAGCCAGGAGCTCCCCATCGGCGTATGCATTGCATGGTGGTGATTAACTAACCCCAGTTCTTCACGAGTGTCGAATTTCTTCGGTTTTTTGGGACAACAGTCGCACATGTAGAATCCTTGGATTTTCCCGACGCCGTTGTTCGTTCGCAAGGTCGGCTCCGTCAGCTTCCGAGGACTTACCATGTTCCTCTGATCGCTTGGTCCCCTTTGGTGCAGACCGGTCCGAGGCACGATCGTCGTTCTTGGACTAAGCGTCAACGAGTTCGGTGTGGCGAAGGGTGAGCTTGCTACATCTGTCGGCGACAGGCCGCTTGGCGACAGACCGATGGGCGACCTCCGGCCAAAAGACAGCGAAGAGGTCATGCTAGTGGCTGTGCTCAATCCTCCAAGGCTTCCGCTTCGGTCGCCTGACGACACGGAGGATATACTACCGTGGGGCGGGTTAACCGAGAGCCGGGGCGCTGGACTACCCCTTGAGATACCTTCACGGCGGCGAAGGAGATCGCTGTGGCTAGACGCGTTCCGCAGAGCGGGTTCTTCAACAGGGGGGCTGGACGCGCGTCGCTTCAGACTCTGGCACTGGGTATCAAGGCTGTTGACACGCGAGTGCTGGCCATCGTCCAAATGGATGTGGCGCAAACGGTTCGTCTCGTCCATTGGAAACTCCATCTCGTGGTCATACGTATCCGCCGGCGTCAGGTCGCCAGGAAATGCGCCTGAATTTTGCCTTCGGGTCCTTGAAAACGGGCTCCGGTCAAAGTCAATCGCTGATGGCGGCTCAATGGGTGAGCGGTAGTCCTGCGACCGAGCCAGTTGCGCAAAAGGGGTACTTCGAGGAGACACTGCCGAGTTCAGAGGTGTGTCCGCATAGCCCGTAGACTCAAGAATAGGGGCAGGCTTAGAGCGGGTCGGGAGCGAGAGTTGAGGGAGCTGGATATGGGGCCGGTCGGAAGAGGGCCATGTAGGAGACGGGCCGTCTTGCAGCGAGCGCATAGACGCGCTCAATGCAGATCCACGAGACGGCACACTATTGTCCAAGCCTTTCTTTGCATCCAGCTTCTTCAGCTGCTGACTGTCATACGAGTCGCCAGAGGGAAACTTGTACTGGTCGTGGACGCGGAAACTCGGGCCTTTGTCTCGTGAACTAGGAGAAGCACGTTAGTTGAGGACTGCTTGGCCAAGAAGCGATCGGGTTGGGTACGCGGCTTCTTTTTAAGACACATGAGAGAACAGCGGATAGACCTACGTTGAGGAGGCATAACTTGACAAACTCGAATAGCCTTCGTCCTTGCCTGTCAGGGTCGTGTTGCTTTCTCTCCTGCGGTAGTCAAAATCGTCTGGTGTGGCCCTCGACTTCCAACTACCATAGCCACTTTCCCTGCCCCCGAAGAAGCTCTCGTTGTATGAGTCCTTGCGTTGTCGCTCGAAAAAGTCGTTGTGATGTGCTTGCGGCCCTTCGACGGGCACGAAACGTGGTGGGGGAAGAGCAGGTGGAGGGTTCTCGTGGGAGGGCGCATTTGGTATTCCCATTCCTCCCGGAGAGAAGGTTCGGTCAAAATTGGGGTTGAAAGGCCCGTGTGAGCCAAAAGGTCTCTGACTTGAGCCATAGCGGTCGTCGTCGTATATTGATATGGTGGGAGGACCAGGTGGTCGCGCGCCGCGGATGTCCATCTTAGGCAGGGCTCGGATATGGAGAGATTGTGGCTGATGCGAGGTTTGAAGCTGGCAAAATGGCAGGTTGTGACGCAATGACTTGGTTCACCTGATGTAGACACCGTTAGGAAGAGTCAGGAGAAGAAGAAGCGGCCTTTGGCCCCGAGGATGTTCTGGGACCCACGTCAGAGTCAAGAAATGACGTTGAGAGTGCGAGTCAACACGAGTTCTGCTGCTATTGCTGGGCGTGAGGGCGGCGAGGTCTAGGGTCGTATGTAGTCTCGGAAGCCGGGTGCATTTGTTTCGAGGTGTCTGGTAATCTGGGTGGGTGTTGGTCTGGACTCAATGCGCCATGGGAGACCGGGGATGGATTGAGTCGTGTATGACGGGGCCAGACCAGGTAAATATTGGAGCAGCACGGAGAGCAGTCGGTGCTGCGGTGGGAGGAGGAGCAGAGGGAACGGCAGATGCTGATGTTGCGCTGGCGCGGATGCTGATGCTAATGTTGATGTTCGGCCGGGCTCGGTTCTGGTGACGATGCTGGTGTTGGGTGATATTTATTTACGGTACGTCTTGTACACTGTGACGGCAGTGGAAGTCGGCAGACAAGCAGCAGGCAGGCGGTACCTCAATCTTGAGTCTGGAAGAAGCGGGTAAAGTGCAGGCGCAAGTAAACAAGGCGTAGTCGACCGTGCCCGAGGGATGGGTGGCGCTTGTGTATAAATGTGTATAAACAACGGCAGCGGTAGAGAACAGAACCGGTCAAACAGGAAATGCAGGCGGCGGAGATGCACAGAAGAATCCAAAAAAGGTCGCTGGGTTCCAGTCCAGGGCCCGTAATAATCGAGTCGGGTCGGGTCGAGGTCGAGTCGAGTCGAGCCGAGTCAAGGCAGGTCGAGGATGGGCGCGAACAAGCAAGCAAGCAAGCAATATTTCAAGAAGGGGATGTGGAGGGAGGAGAGGGAGGGCGCGGATATGTGCTTTCCTTATGTTGTGCACAAGCCTTGGTCCCAGTGCAGCAAGCGCAGGGCAGGGTAGAGCAGGGCTGGGTCGATTCGAAAGGAGGAAGGAAGCAGGTGGTATAAGGAAGGGAAGGTATGTACGTATGGATGGATGTACGCAGGTATGTATGTATCATGTCACATACTGCAAGGTAAGGTGGAGTTTGCGGTTGCAGGTCTCACTCATTTCAATGCTCTACAGAGGAGAGCAAGAGAGAGAGCCATGTCTCTGCTTGCTTGCTCCTGCTCCTGCTCCTTGCTCCCTGCTCCTCGTTCCTTGCTCCTTGCTCAATACCGGTACCGGTACGGTCCCTGGTACCGGTACTGGGGCAGGGTACCGGGTACCTGAATACCTGGACACACCCAGGGTGGGGCCCCGAAATGGTTTAGGGCATGGTGGTAGCCCAAGCTTGGGGCGGGAAGCAGGGGTCCAGGTCGGGCAAGCTGGCAGGCAGGCCTAGCAGGGTCGAAGTCGAAAGTCGGAAGCGACCAGCCAGGCAGGACTAAGCAAGGAGGAGCAAGGACTGACTGATGGAGTCGAGTTGAGCGACGTTCGTGCCTCCTCCGCCCTTTCCTGTGTTCCGCTGTCAGGGTCCCTCCCCGTTCGAGGTCTGCCTTGCCCCCCAGCCCTGCGAGTGCAAGTGCAAGTGAGGGCAACTGCGTGCTGGTCAGTACTGTGTTCCTGTGTGCCTGTGTGCCGGTGCGCCTGTGCGCCGAGTTAGCCACTGTACCATTGTGCAGGCGTACTGGTGTATCCGGCGAACGGTGTTGCCGTATGCGGTAAGTGTTTCGCTCTTTCCTTTTTGCGCCGAGACATGCCAGCACCGTGAACAATATGGTCTGCCTGCCTGCCTGCCTATCTGCCTGTCCGTCTTCTTTCCGTGCAGAGCAGCGTCGTCGCCCGGCATTATGGCAGAGCGTGACTCTCTTCCTGAATGCGAAACCGCCATCCTCCTCGTCCTGTGTTGTCCGCCGTCCCTGTCCGCCGGAGGCGAAAAAGCCACTGACATAGATGAAGCGCAATCAATACACGTTTCTAAAATAAGAAGGGCAGCAGCATGTACATGTAATATGTACGTATGGCATGGCATGGCACGGCACGGCGTGGCATGGCATGGCAAGGCAAGGGAAGGCGACGCAACGCAACGCCTCGCATGGCATGGCATGGGCAGGACGGCAATAATACTGTATGAAAGCCATCAACCGAAACCGGTGGACGCTCTCCTTCTGTCAGCCCAGTCAGTCCCAGTAGTCATCCGACGTGCATCCAAAAGATGGAGGTAGGTCAGATCGGCAACGGGGACATGAGGACTGCTCCCACGTCTGAGTGAGTACAGTACTACTGTCAACACCTAGCACCGGGGGTGGGACATAGTCCCGATGACTTGTGTCGAGAGACCAAGCTGGTACACCTGATTCCACCGTTTTGCGCGGCCACTCCTTGCGTGAGATAGGTACCTCAAAGGTTCCTGTTCAGTACCTGCGGCCTGGCTGCACGCCTGCTGCCTTGGGGAAGCTGCAGTTGTCCCTGCCTCCCAGGGCTGGATTGCTTCCCCGTCTCCCACCCCCCCCTTCCTGCTGCTGCCCTGCTCTTACCGTTTCTTCCTCGTAGGGCAGAGCATACGGAGTACGGACGTACTGCAGTGACCTTAACCGAGCACCGCTCCGTAACGCCTGCACAGATACAGAGTACCTCTCTTGCCTGCACTTGCCCCTCCTGGCTTCTTGCCCGCCTGCCAGCCCACCCACGAGGGTGCTTACCGTTTGCTGTGGCCGACGACTCGACGAGACAGGTGAAGAGAGGACTACCAAGACATTCTCTGCCCATGGACGACATCCAGGCAAACTGAAGCAGTTCCAGCTCTCGCACCTCGCCCCTTTGTCCTGCTCTGCTCTGCTCTGCTCTGCTCTGCTCCGCTCCATTCTGCCCTGCCCTGCCATGCTTGGTCAACCGAGTGCAACCAAGGCAGCGCAGTGGCCGACCTTCGCGTGTATTTGGGCATCCACACATCCACACAATCCACCTGTCGACTGCTTGTCCGTCCTCTCATCCACTCGCCCACATCCCACATCCACTCCGTGGCCCACGGCTCAAGGCAGGCCTGTGGTCTTCGCAGCACGGCGACAGAGCGAGCGGCAAACAACCGACGGCTTGGCCTGGTCTAGCTTGGCCTGGCCTGGTCTGACAGCCACGACAGCCACGACAATCGCGACAATCTCGACAATCAATGACAATCACCGACAATCACCCCAGCCCGGCGGGACGGAGCAGCCAGGACAGGGACGTGGACGGTGAACACAGAGTGCAGGATGCTTCCCAATCGCTAGGGGTCTCCCATGCTCGGGCCCCGGGGCGATTGTCTGGGATTGGGCTACCCCAACTCTGACTGGATGCACTGGACCTGCCAGCATGCCTGCCCGTGCTGCTTGTCGTCTCGCGTTTTTGCATTCCAGCAAAGAAATAAGGCCCGTCCTGATAAAAGTACCAGCATCTGCCTGAACCACGCCATTGCACATGGGACGGACGCAAGCCATGCCCCCTACCGCAGGGCCGCACACGCCCACGCCACGCCGCGCTATGCTATCCTGCGCCATACCATGCCATGCCATCCCATTCATCAGCGTCCATTCCATCAATGAGTCTTCTGGCCTGTCTGGCCTGCGGAGCAACATTGACAGATGGCTACAGCTCTCCGCTGGAACCCTCGGTACCAGGCTACGGTGTGGGGAACACTTCGACTTGTCGTTGCCTCCGTGGCGGTGTCCTCCATCTCACCCGTCAGGTTTCCATGCTGACGGTGCAAGGTTCCCAAAAGGTCGCTAATCTGGGAGTGGGTGATTCCCCAGCCCTACAATGGCAGAAAAAGCAAACAGCCAACAGACACAGTCCACCCCCTGTCTGCATGTCTGTTGCCTCATTGTGGAGTCCGTCCACCCTCTCTTGGCCCTCACCCACTGCCCACTCCGCTCCACTTCAGTCCAATCTTCAGACCCATGCCCAATCCTTTTGATTAAACGGAGCGGGTTGCTTGGCAATGTTGCAAACTGCAAGGTGTGAGGACAGGCCCCGAGCTCGAGCCCATCCCATTAATCCATCATCAATGATGGGAGGGGAGAGGGGCAGGGAGAGGAGCACGCTACTGTACGGCCGCGCATGCCCACCCTTCAGTGGTCATCTCTCAGTTAATTGACGTCCCCACCGTGCTGCTCACTGGACACAATCACGGACCCGAGCAAAACCGAAGAAGAAGGGGGGGGAAGGGTTTGTAACTCCTCCGCCTTCCCATTCGAGCTGCGGTAGTAAAATCAGACTGGTAGCTTCGATCGATTGATGGTCGACTTACTACGGCAGGCGAGGTCACGCACGCGGTACTGGAGGACGTCTGTCACTGCGGTTCTGCCACGGCCCCACGGCACGGCATGTCTTCGCAGATATGGGTAGCCTGGCCCTATCCCTACTCTGCCTGCGCCCTCGACCCCTCCGTGGGCTACAGCACGACGGACTTGTGAGACTCACGACGAGGACAATCAGTAGACGACCAGTAGTGTGGTGGTGTCATCGACTCATCCGACCATTTCCTTCCAACATCGCATGTGTGATGGTAGCATCGCAGATCCTAACGGGTTTGATAACCAGCACACCGCTCAGGCCCTGACCAGAAGGACCGCCTTAGCAGCTGCTGGCGTTTCATTACCCATCATCATCAAAGCTTCTCTTCCCATGGAGCACACTAGACTGCTCGGTGCAACGGGCAATCCTCCCGGATCCAGGATCAAACTTCTGGTCCCGACAGGTTGGTGCTGGGGGCGGATGGATGTATTCAACGTTCCAACAGGCGGCCGAACCCAGATATTCAGGGCACAGCCTCTTACCTTCGTATTCATGCCTATCAGCACTTCCAATGTCTCACAATGCCCTCTCGTTTGTTCGCCAAAGCATTACCAACGGATGGCGCCTTGCATTCCCTCTTTTCCGGGGTTGTCTTTCGCCCGAGTCCCATGCAACTGCCCGCCAAC